TTTGAGACTTTTAATGGGTGGGGTTGGGGGCATTATCAAATCAAAGTTTGATTTTGTCCTGCCTTGCATTAACCATATGGGTAGCTAGCTACATCAGATTAGACAGCTGTCTTTCTGTAGTCTGAGTACGTGCAAGAAATGGAAGAGATCCTCACTTCTATACTCCTAGCACATAAACAAACAAATACGTGTACCATAATCAACATGTGTAATTTTTTTTCATACTTTACCAGGAAAATGCATTTCAGGTAGATAAACTATAATGTTTGAAGCAAATCTTAGATAGAATGCTGCATGCAAAACTTGATTTCCCACATTTGATTAACCTGCAGATGAATACATGAGTGCTGCTGAAACAAGCACTGTATTTGAGATGAGGAGAACAGGACAGATGTCGCTCATATACACATGCCAACCATCTATGAAATATATAGTCTTCAAATAATGGATAGGTGAATGGGCTTCCTCTAAGTATTTTGCATTGATGCTGTGTGACAGTCTTCTTTAACTTGGGACTTTCCAGCTCTATTTAACTTCCCAACATCTAACCATGGCCACATTGGCCAAGGATTCTGGGAGTTGAAATCCAACACATCTGGAGGACAACAGGTTGAAGAAAGATGATATAGGAGTTTAGGCAGGAGATCAAAATCATATGTGTGCTAACTTTAAGTGTGCATAAGGCATTGATTTCCTTTGCTTAGAGCTTTAGGTTAAGTCAATTATAGTTCATCTTAAGTGAACTATAGTATTAATTAGTCTATCTCATCTTCATCATCAATGTTGTATATTGTTTATTAGGCTTTCTCTCTTGCAAAACTAACTTCTAACTTTCCATACTTGATCTATATGGGTACAGGACATGAAGTGTGTCTAGCATAGAGATCAGTTGCAAAGAAATCTCCTCTACAGAAGACACTCAGCCCTTAAAACAGGAGCTAATTCAAAAAGAAAAACTCTAAAACTTTGGAAGTACCAAAATTGCTCCTTTAACTTTTAGGAAATGCTGTGATAGCTAGGATTGAACTATTAGCTCATATCAAGTAGCTCAACAGTACATGTCAGTTGCTTTATTTTTCCAGCAGGGCAGATAATATTAATACATTGATTCAATGGATTTAGATCCTGATTTTTATTCAGGAACTAAATACTGTAGGATTTCTATTTTTCCTAACAACAACCGTTTGAACTAGGTTGGGTTGAGAGCCAGCCCAAAGTTACACAGTGGGCTGTTGTGGCTGAGGGTGGTCTTGAAACTGGGTCTTTCTGAGGCCAGTCTGACACCCTAACGGTGACACCAACTCTGGCTCACTGTTTATGTACATAGCTGGTTAAGATAATGGGATGCAGTTAAACCTTCTTGCAGTCATGTTAATGTTATTTTTCGTTCCTCCCTTTGCTTCCTTTCACTTTTGAGATTTCTCCTCTCTTACTTAAGAAATAATTTAAATATATAGCACTGAATTATACATCAGTTAATTTGCTCATGACTTCCTTTATTACAGCTTTCAAATACAAATGATTAAACAGATTTTGTATCCCTTTATCTGCTTACCTAGGAGGAGGCCCTATTGAGCAGCGTGGAACATACTTCAGAGAAAATATGCATAATGTTGTACTGTACATTTATAGGGTGGTGCTTTAATGTTTAAAACTAAGGATGCTAGATCAGATATTATAGAAAAAAAGTAAGAACAGCTGAGCAGATATGCAGAAAGAGAAACATTTCTAAAATGGTGGTGGCCCTCACATTATTGAACACCTTGCCTTAAAGAGAATAAACACTGTTAAAAGACAGTTTTTTTTAAGAATTGAAACGTTACAAAGTCTATGCCTAGCGAAGAAATTATAGCAAAGGAGTCTGCAGAGAAGCTTTGTTGGGTGGCAGATGTCACCACTGGATAAGTTCTTTCTTTGGTTGCTCTCTACTTATTGGAGATGGTCCTCAGAAATAGATCTTAAGTGTTTGGGGAGATTGCCAAAACAGAAGAGTTGGATTCTATGCTAGGTGTTGATGATTAAAATTGTCAATAAAGTTTTCAGAGAATGAGAAACAGGAATGAGAGAGTCAGTGTACATCACTGGAGTCTGTGTGTAGAGACTTTCAGACTGTTATATTACATTGCTTTTTTGACTGTTAAGGAAGCCTATGAGAGATATCTCAAAGGCTGATAGTTGGAAAAAGAACTTTGTGAGAAATCTGACCAGTTTCAGATGTTAGGTACACACTAGAAAAAAAGATACTAATGCCTCATGTTTCCGGTTTTTCCATGATTCCTCATAAAATCATAAAATAATATTTGTTTATCCCTCTCCCCCTATCATTAATGAGAGGCACAAGCTCCATGCTGAGGAGAGACAGTGTTACTGTATCTCCTGTATGGTGGCATTGTCAGAATTGGTAAACAATAAAGGTACAAAATCAGTGTCATGACAGGTAGCACCTAGCTAACCTTGGCTGACCTTAAAAAGCTAAGAAGGGTCAGATCTAGCTATTATTTAAATGGGAGGTCACCAGAAAATTGGGCTAGGTTGGGAAGCCTAAACAAATTTCCAGATAAGGGCCCAGAAGAAAACAGTGAATGGCTTCCTTATTATTTCTAGGAAAACTACATAAAGACTTTACTAAATTATAAGTGCATTTGATGTGAACTCAACTCTATAGCCTTTTGCTTGTAGTTTTAGTGTGGTGTGGATACTTGCTAAGGGGTACAGTGAAATAGATTCTCAAAGCTGAGGCCTCTTAGGCGTAAAGTATTAAGTATTCCTCAGAAAGGACCATGAGGTCTGAAATGCATGCATGGTACATAGAAGCTATGTTCACTTGATAGGATGACCCAGTTAGCCATTAACCTCTTGGTTAATGGACCATTTCCATGTGCTGGCAGCTTATGACCAATGGTGACCTGGGGAAGCGGGGAGCAGCCATTTCTTAACTGCTCTTATCTGCTGGAACGAAAGCACTTCCCATTTTTTCTACCATGAGAACCCCTTTTTCATGGAAGGGTTGGGTTTGCACTGAAAACTAAAAGGGTAACAAAGTTCCCCCTGTTTTCATGGTGACTTTTCTAGGACTGGCTCACAAGGGGGAAGAGGTAGAAAGCCCCATGGCTGTTTCAGGTGAAAACTAATCCCCTCTGCATTAGTTCTCTGGGCTAGGATGCTTGCATGACACTTTCCCCAACCCAGTTAAAGATGCTGTGTGAACAAGAATGAAGTGAGCATTACTCCACAAAATTCATCAGATGCTACAATTCATCTGTTTATCTCTAAGGGAGCATGCAACCTTTTTACCCTTTCGTTGCAACAGACCATAAGATGGCTACCTGTCGGTAAGCTAATCATGTCTGTTTCTCTAAAATGATCATCAGAGGCTTTTCTCCCATCAAAATGTTGCTCTTCAAATGTGCCTCTCCCTTCTTAGGTTTTCTTCAGTTGCACTCTTAAATTATAGAAAGAAAGTAGACATTCACACCCTATTTATTTTCAAAATCCCCATTCCGTGGTTCTCTCAAGAAGCTGATTTTAGTAAAACAAATGGCTGTGTGGACTGGAAATGGAAGCCTTTGTGCTGAGAAGTATACTTGTGCTTAATAATGAATGCCTTGTAGAAAGCACAAAAGGCCTAGGCTGGGGAGAGGGAGAGGAAATGCATCATCCACAGCTTCACATTCAACCCTTCTCACATGCAAAGCTCATCCATGGCCCAGTAGCCAGGAACAACATTTGTGTCTCCTCCCTACTTCCTGCCTTAGAAAGCGTGGCTTCTTTACCATGAACATTTTCCTTCTAGCCATGACACCTTGCCCACTAATTCAGAGCTCAGCTGTGGAAAGAATCCAAGCACCTCAACCAGCAAAGCCACCTTCTCAGAACCCAATGGGAGATCCATTGTATCTCCTATGTGCCAAAGGATCTGGAAAACTGAGGCCGATCCTTCTCATGTAATCAACCTGGCAATCCACTCTATGTTGCCTTGACAGCCGCAATATTGATTCTCTTGCTTACCCTCAAGGAGACCGGAGAAGGTGTCTCTTCCAGAGAGACAGTGCTTGTGAATCATTAATTTAGGAAATCAGTTCTCCCAATAATCCCAATCCTTATTTTATCTAGAGGGAAAATTGGGGTGGGGGTGGAGGAGGAGGAGTTAAGACTGGGAGCTGCATTGGTTTGCTGCCTGCTGGGAAACCCTGTTGTTTCTCATAGTCTGAATCATGTGAATGAGACACATAATGCAGGGGGCATGTGGGAGTCAAAAGCAAAGGGAAGGAATCTGCTGGAATACCTGACCAAACATGCCATTTAAAAAAAAAAGGTTAATCTTGAATTATTAACTATTTGCTGTGCTTTTTGTCACCTTCTAGGGGGTGAATTGACCCAATCAGTGTTTTCATACTGTCTCCTCCGCTGAAATGGCTGTTCTAGCAGGGGGAAGTACTGCAGTACTGTAAACGAACTATACCTTGATAAACAACAGGGTGAACAATATTACAAAAGCACTATTCTGTCACCTGAAAAAGCTACTGATACAGTATACTCCTCTGATAGTGTGCTTTGAAGGATCCTTCCCCCCCCCTTTTTTCCCCTCAGACTGCTTCATTATTCCTCAACCATTTTTGTTAATGCACAAAATAATCATATCACTAAGACACCCTGGAGAAATGGATCACTTGTGGCTGAACACAGGATCAAGCCACAATACATTTTGACTCGAGCGATGGAAGGGAAGCGAATCTCTGCCACGCATTCTAGAAAATGGAACATTGAATTAACAGCACATTATTAACAACCTGCAAGAGATTAAACTGTGCCTCCTCAATGGAGGAACGTGTGGAGCAAAAGCCCAAATGAACCTCTCCATATTCCCCTTTCTCCTTGTTGCCTCCAACATAAATGGTCAAGCAGATGCATCAGCAGGAGACAGGGACAATCAGTAACAGGGCCTGATAAGGACTAGATAAATCCAGCAATGAAACATTCCCTTAAACCCATTACCTTACCTGAGAAGAAGAGTCATAAATTACAGCATCAGCAGGAGAACCATTATCCATAGATCTGCATATGCCGTTCTTCCTTACTGCAGCTGTCCAGGTTCCTCAAGACAGGAGCTTCCAAAGTCTCCCATTTTACGTCTCATGGACAAAAATGATCCACCCCAAAAATGGAAAAGAAACCTTTACAGGAACCTTCTGCCCTGGCGTCTTCCTCTGAGAATCACTCTGTGTTCCCCAACATCCGTAAGGGAGGGGGGGTGTTTGTGGGGGAATTAGAAAAAAAAGAGGGAAGGAAGAAAAGAGACTGCTCTGTATTTAAATAATGAAATGAAAGCCAGGACTGCCAAGTGAGGGAGAGCGCCATCTACTGGCAAAAGGAATGGATGCTTTTTCTGTTGTCTTGTTTTTGCACCCCTGTGACAGAAGCTGCATCGTTAGTCACAGATTCTCGTTTTAAGGACTAAAAATACACCAACTTTAAACAAGGAAATGGCAATGATTGCACCATTCAAAAGGGGGAGGGGTGACAATAAAGTGACCCCATTTTAGAAAAGCTTTCCCCGTGCATGCAGCCATGTATGCAGTCACTTATGCTGAGGCTTCCCCTCCCTCCCCCATTCTGTAGAGCAATCACATTTCAGGGATAGGAATGGAAGGGTTTTCTCACCCTGTCTGCCAAAAAAGCATTTGCAATATCCATGATAGCTGATTTGCCATGAGCAAGTTTAAATGAGAGGATTTTGCACAACTTTGGGATGACATTCAGTTTCTGAGACACCACCAACCTGTACAGGGCAGGGAAAGCCACTATTGCTGAGTCTGCCCCTTTTATAAAAAGGAAGCAAATGTAGTGGGATGGCTGTTAACTGAATCTGGGCAGACTGAAATTGTGCACTGCAGATGACTGAAGACAGTTCTGACTGCAATCCTATATACATATTTACATTTCTTTATTTTTATTTATTTATACATCGCATTTATATAGCCGCCCCTCTCCCGCAAAGCGACTCTGGGTGGCGTATAACAATTAAAATAAAATAGCAAGTGGATAAAAACAGGCGTGTTAAACCGATAAAAAGTTGTGATTAGAATAAAAACATGATCACACATTTTAAAAAATAGATTTTAAAATATACAAACCCCCACAGAGAGAGCAGAATTTCAATTACAGTGGCGCCACCTAAGAATGTCTCTGGTTCCCAGAGACCCCAGGCCTGATGACACAACCAGATCTTGAGGAATTTCCTAAAGGACAGCAGGGAAGGGGCGAGCTTCACTTCAGGGGGGAGAATTTACATGACAATAGGTCTATGGGCGCTTAGCCATAAACAGTGCGAAGAATCAAATGGCACCGATAGGTAAGGAAGGCCCTTTCACCATTTCCTCAAAAGCCTTTTCCCATTCGCACTATCTACTGACTTCACAGCCAATATTTTCACAATTTGCACTATAAAAACCTTGAACCAAAAGATAAATTGCTGACATATTTTATGCCACTTTAGAAAGGTATTCGGTAGCAGAAGGGCTAGCAAACAGAAAAGGAAAATTATGTTACACTACGTAGTGTCAATAGTACTGAGATCATAATACACTAGAACTCTAGTATCTCTGGAAAGAATTGTGTCAGAAAGTTATGGAATATGATGCCTAATGAAAGAAATTTTGACCCCCCCCATGCTAAATTGACTTTATGGGGAAACCCAACTTTAAAATTGGGGAAAAGATGGAAGTGGAGATATTGACTGTGGACCAACTGATAGATGATGAAGATGAATTTTTAACATACGCTGTGTTAGGAGATAAATATCACCTATCAGATGTAACTCAATGGCAATATCTACAGCTACAACATTTGTTAATAACACTGTTTGGATCAGCAGCATTTTCAGCTTCGGAGACACCTGAGATACTAGAACAACTTGTTAAATCCTTTAAAACTAAAAAACCTGTTAGTTTTTATAGATATTTTCAATATGTCAATTTAATATGCAGATGCTAAGAAATGAGTAGAATAAACAATTTGAGGTTCCTATACTGCCTAGACAATGGGAAAGTATCTTAACTTCTATACCAAGAATGTCAATGGACCTTAAACGATGACTTATGCAACAAAAAATAATATTTAGAATTTATTGAACTCTATTATGTTTGAATAGAAAAGGTCTGTCTAAGGCAGCATTTTGCTGGAGATGTAATAAGGATAATGCTTTTTTAAAACACATGCTTTTACAATGTCCTATACTTACTAAATTTCGGAAGAAAGTAGATTATATAAATATGACTTTTCAACAAAAATTAAAATTTTCAGAGGACAATATTCTTTTGAATTACACACCTATTACATGGAACTTGACAACTGGACAACATAAATGGATTCTCCATGTCTTCACTATGGCCAAAAGATAAATGTATGGCTCCATTCACTCGGTGGACTGAAGGCCTGATTACTCTTGCCACCTATGAGCAGGATTGCCCATAGACATACACTTTGTATGGACAACTATAATGAAATATGGAACTCATTTATAGAAAATACAATAGGTTAAAGACAAATGATAGCTATATAAATGTATTAGAAATAAACATATATGCACTTGAATGACATTTACATTATAAGGATATATAGAACGTTAAGTGTATATATATGCTGTTGCCCCCGCCCTATGGAACACTCTTCCCCCAGAGGTGAGGTCAGCCCCCCCCCCACTCTCCAGGCCTTCCGGAAAGGAGTGAAGACGTGGCTCTGCCAACTCACGTGAGGCGTGAGGAGAGGTAACCAACCCTGGGGGTGGCTACCACCTTGAAGACGCTTCCGCAGGTAAACAACTGTCACTTGCCATCAATTACCTTGGAAGATGTTATTTATTAATTGAACATTGGTTTATTGTATTTTAATCAGTATTTTAACCAGTATTTATTTTTGTTTTTACTGTAAACTGCCCAGAGTTGCTCATTGAGTGAGATGGGGGGGGGGACTAAATTTGAAATATAAATAAATAATATATACTGTGTGTGTGTGTGCGTGTGTAACTGTCATAATGATATATTACACTTTTGTTTTTCTTTTCTTTTTTCACTTTTTTTTTTGCTAAAAGCATTTTTAAGCATTGTTTCATTTTTTGTGGGTTTTTTTCTTTTTCTTTTTTTGTATTATTTTAAAAGTAATAAAAATATAAATTAAAAAAAGTTACACGACATAATGATAGGCACCCTATCGTGTATACTACTTAAATTGAGGAAATGAATATTACTGGTTCTTCTTCATTATATTTCATCAGCTGCATCAGGTTCACTGAACAAGATGAACTATTTTTTAAATTAATTTTAAAATTAAAATGCCTTCCTTTAATATTCACAATTACAGTAATGGTAAATGATGACACAGTTGAAATGTTTACTATATTGTTATTGATTGGGATTCAAACCCACATCCATGAGATAATTTTAGACCCAGAAGATGATGATGGTTTTGATTAATTGAAGTGGAGAAAAGAACATAGTATTGTTATGAACTAATTCGGATGTTGACATTGACATTCTAAGCAATGGGATCTCTTTAAGTTTCTTTTAAGCTTTAGCATTCTGTAATCACTACGGTACAAGTGCAGTTGACTTATCTCAGCTTGGAATTAACCTTAAAAGAAAAAAATAAATCTGAGTTCTGGTTAATTGGGGAGAGTATTCATGGACATTTACTCTGGAGAACTCTTAGTAACAAGACTATTTAGGGATCACTTTTAATTTTCAGAAATATACAACACAATCTACTGATACCATCAAGGAGTAGTCATCAATTATATTTGCTACTACTAAATTGTACTTCTCAGCATTTTTGCATTTTTTGCATTTCAAACCAATAGATAACATAAATTTGGGGTCTAAACACTGCTGTATTTCCATAAGACTGGAAATCAGCACAAAGGACAGTGGTGCAGTGCTGATCCTTTGCATGTGTTGTATAATCAACCCACATCCTTTTAATGTGTTTTCCCATTTTATTTGATCTGCATCATTTTAAAAAACTGCAGTTAATCTGTGTGTTCCACTTTGCAACAATGTTTTTGTGTTACAGAAATAACCTTATGTGTGAAAATTAATACATTTTTGTTAAGACTGGAAATAGAATGGTTGGAGAAATATAGCAACAACATGTATAGAGTAATGAACTTATTTATAATTTACATCATTCCTATATTATACCATTTGAATTAATAATTATGCCTGGCACAAGAAAGTTCTTTATTAAGAATAATAGTGACTACAAAAGTGTTCAGTGTTTTAACACAAAGGCAAGCATTATAGTGCTAACTATATTACTCTCCAAGGCCAGCAACAGAACTATGAAATGCTTGCAGTATACCTACTGTGAGGGGAAAATATTAAGGATGGGAAATCATGCTCTAACAATAAATATGAACTAATGTTTAAAATACATTAATGCTACAACTAAAATGCTTATATGTCAAAAGAAAATGGAAGACCTACATCAGCTATTCTAAATTAAGGAAAAACACCGTACAGTTGTGAAACACAGCCAGAAATACTGATGGAACACATGTGGTAAGAGAAAGAACAGGGAAGTATGGTAAAGTTAGCATCAAGACCATTGTTTGTTTCCTGGGAGTTAAGACTGTGGTTTGTGGTTTTAAGGAATAAAAGGGGTCTGATGACAAAGGGTCGGGGCCACCCGGCCAAGCTGTCTTGCGTGACAGCTTGATTGTGTTGGACCTCATTGCAATGGGATCTTAAGTAAGTATGTTATGTTTTGTTGTTTGAACTAAGGTCTATGTATTGAACTATACTTGCTTATTGAATTAACATTTAATAAATACTTTAGAACGTTGAAGTGGTCTGTGGTCTGGTGTGTCTGTCTCTCGGGTTTGATGGGGTTTTTCCCCTGACATTACAAAATATTTACAAATAAGTGAATCCCCAATAATTTGTTGATGGACTTTATAAACTAGCATACGACATCTAGCTACTTTGTAAGTCATATAAGTCTGCTTATCAAACAAAAAACAAGAAGTGTTAAATGAACTGATTGACCAGGATGAGCCAATGAAAAGAGGTGAAATTAATTTACTATTACACATTTATTAAAAGCACAATAAAGAAGCATTGTTCCAAAGTTTCAGAACCATAGAGGCAAATATATTCATTAAAAGGCATGTTGTTAAATCTTTGTTTCATTTATATCCCATCT